TCGCCTGGCACTGGATACTGTTGAATTGCCTCAATTTTGGCTGCTATAGGCTGGACTTCCCCTTGTCCGACCACATGCCCCAAGAAAGTGACGTGGGCATGGCCGAACTCAGTTTTGACGAGGTTCACCGTCAGCTTGCTTGCAGCCAGTACGGAGAAGAGGGCTTGTAGACGACTCATGTGATCTTCCCAGGAACTGCTGAAGACGATAAGGTCGTCTAGGTAACAGTGGACACCTTCCAGACCAGACGTGATGAAATTCATGAGGCGTTGAAAGGTTGCAGGGGCGTTCCGCATACCAAACGGAAGGACTGTGAATTGGTACAACCCCTCAGGATTGACAAAAGCAGAGATGGCCCTGGAGCATTCAGTCAATCTTATCTGGTAGTAGCCCTGGAGGAGATCCAACTTGGTCACGTACAATATTGACTAAATTCACTAGATAATGTACGCCTGGCAGCAAAATCTATAAGAATATGCGATGCATACGTCACTGTGCCCGCTCTAGGGCCATTTAGGTTCGCTACGTCCCATTATTTGAATGTATTTTTTAATTAAAATTTTAATTGTTTATTCCCTGATAGAGGAAGCGGGATACTAGTGCTGTCACTTGGTACCCCTGTACCATAACACCAGAAGCAACTGGCCAGTGTCACAAGTATATACAGTACAGTACAGTCATCCCTTGGTTATAGCGCCTAATTGGGACCCCGCCGATAACGAAAGTACAGAACCTATGGGATTTATTCTAATTGGTTCCAGGCGCCCAAGACCTAACCCCAAGTTTCCCATTTTACGACCATTTATACCCACTAAATATATATATAATGTTATGGTAAATATTATAAACGCACATAGGCATGGCTAGGTTTATTACAAAGCGATGAAAAGGGTATGCTTAATACTGTAGTCCACAAAACATGTAGCTATGCTTTTTTTATTTGGTCCCCATCGTACAAGTCCGTTTTCTCTCACATCAGAACGCCTGAGTAGTCCGTTTTCTCTCTTAATCTTAGTCTGCACCAGAGACTTCACTATACTTAGTAATGCCACAGAATTTGAAATTGCAACCCCAATTGCAACTGGGGTTGCAATTGTTGAGGCAACTAGATATGTCTGATTACAGCAAATGTGTTATTGTCAATTTGTTGGTGAAAGATTTTATCCTCAATAGATGTAGGTTAACATTACACCTGGAGGCAAATGTTTAAAAATAGCCTAAGATAGGAAGCATATTCCTTTAACTCATAATATCTGACCAGTATGGGTAGGATCATCGTGTCTCCGTCAGGGGGTCGTAGGGTGGTGGTCCAGCAGGCGTCACGGATTTTTCTTTTTTTGGGGGGGGGGAGGAGGGGTGGGGGGGGCCACGGACGTATATGCGATCGGACGTTGTTCGGTCGGATGTTAACCGGCGCATGACTGTAGATGAAGCTTATTTTTTATTGTCAATAGAGGATCCTAAGGTGCTGTCACGGTGTAAATTGTAGTGGAATTCTCCCCTACAAACGCTGTTTGTCGCTGCCTAGCCGACCCCACCAATTCCCAAGTGTATGCCTCGTGGTCTAGGTCAACCAGCGCCGCCATACACCACGGAGCGGGGGTCAACTGCTAAGCCACGCCTACCCCTGCTATTTAAGACCTGACCTCGTGGTGATCTGGCTCTCTTTCTACCTACACCAACCAGCCAGCAACACCTCCTCCGCCTGCCTGGCGGTCCTCGCTCCTCCTCCTCCTCCTGCCTGGCGGTCCTCTCTCCCGCCAGCGAGCATGGCGACCCACAAGCTGTCCTCTGAGCGTCCTCACCAACCAGCTCTCTCTACATCACGCTTGTAACCATGCTGCCTTCCCAGCACCAAGCTGCATTGTACATCCAATACAACATGTATATAGAGAGCACATTGTGAGTTTCCTTTCTCCATCCCATCCTGAGTGTGAACCAAACATCCTGAACCCCACAAATGGTGACTCCCGGAGATTCGCACTCACACAGGATGGAGGAGAAACTGATCGCGCTCCCAGTCTTCAAGCAACATGGAAGACTGGCTTATCCACACAGAAGCAGCTCTCATCGGCTCTACAGCTACTGTCTCTACACCGCAGGTTAGACACCCTAGAGCAGCTCTGCTACTCTAAGCAGACACCAGCTCCTCTTCCTGCCCTAAGCACCACGTCCTACCGACCCCAGCACACCCGTCCTGCCTCAGACGCCGACCCCGGCCCAGCAGTAACCCCTGCCGCCCCTGATGCGGCCTCTGTTCCTGAGTGCGGACACACACACCCCTCTTTTCTCCCCCAGGTACTCCCTGCTAATGTCCTGCACCCTGCTGCTGTCGTGGACCCAGCTGCTGTCACGAGCCCTCATCCGTTTCTGCTGACGCAGCCCCTGCTCCTGACCCAGGCCCACACACCCCAGCAGGCGCATCTGACGACTCGGTACCTGCCGTGAGGGAAGCACAACATTCATCGCCTCCACACACCCTTATTCTCCCTCTCTACTCCCACAGATATTGTGTATCTAGACAGTTGTCCCCAGCGACCGGCTCATCCACGCCATCGCCGTTGTCTCACATGAGGCACGCACCGCCCGTTCTGCCTCACATGTGCTATGCAACCCTGCAGACAACAAGTCTCCTACACAGCCTGGAGGGAAGGGGGAGTATTGTAGTGGAATTCTCCCCTACAAACGCTGTTTGTCGCTGCCTAGCCGACCCCACCAATTCCCCAGTGTATGCCTCGTGGTCTAGGTCAACCAGCGCCGCCATACACCACGGAGCGGGGGTCAACTGCTAAGCCACGCCTACCCCCGCTATTTAAGACCTGACCTCGTGGTGATCTGGCTCTCTTTCTACCTACACCAACCAGCCAGCAACACCTCCTCCGCCTGCCTGGCGGTCCTCGCTCCTCCTCCTCCTGCCTGGCGGTCCTCTCTCCCGCCGGCGAGCATGGCGACCCACAAGCTGTCCTCTGAGCGTCCTCACCAACCAGCTCTCTCTACATCACGCTTGTAACCATGCTGCCTTCCCAGCACCAAGCTGCATTGTACATCCAATACAACATGTATATAGAGAGCACATTGTGAGTTTCCTTTCTCCATCCCATCCTGAGTGTGAACCAAACAATCTCATACCCCACAAAGTCATCTTATCTACACTTGCACGTATGTCCAGCCTACATGTTCGCGTTTATTCCTGCTGCAGAGGGAATATGTGAATTGGCAGTCATACAACCAAATGTACGCACAGCACTAGGGCAATGCAGTGTTAGCCAGTTAGTCTCAAGACTGTGTTTCACGCTCATCTCCACAATGTGCAGTATTTGTTCTTTCCAAATCTCACTACTGTTATTTTAAAATGCCATGATGGTGTTAAGCAGCTAGTTGTGAAAGGGCATTACAAGGCTCCGGATTACTGTGAAATCACTTGTGGTACATTACGGACCTTGCCTACTCATCAGCATTTTGCTTTAAATATAAAACTCAAGTCTGCTTTAATTTAACTTCCTGTCATGAATTTCACTTAAAAGGATATTCAAATAGTTTCAGAGAAATCAAAAGGTTTAGCATTCTTGAAAGAGACACATTTTGCTGATTTGAGTAATAATTTGCCATTTTATCTATCAGGGGAATTTGCCACACCAAGCCTTACAATTCCCTCCATTATGTTAATTTTGGCAATTATATTTCTGTTCTGTTATTACCCCTAATACCCCTACAGTAGTAGATTCTCCAGTTTAGTGTCTACACATCTGTTTATAACATGGTTAGGGTTGTCTAGGATGTATTGTACTCTGTGAGCTTAGTTAGGCCTCACGGAGTTCGGCTGGTAGGTGACCGAGCGATGTAATGGGCCCCTGTCTCATCAACAGAACATATTATATAAATGGGTCAATGCATCTGATATTTCACCCACTTAAATACTTCTATCATATCTCCCCGCACTCTTCGTCTTTCTAGGGAATGCATTAGTTTCTTTAATCTATCTTGATGTGGAAGGTTTCTAATCCTGGAATCATTTTCGACATTCTTCGCTGCACCGACTCCAGTGATTTGATATTAATTCTATAATACAATATTGCTTATTTATTAATTAATACCACAACACCACACCCATACACCCTAACACCACCCACACACACCCATATTGTATGACATAAATTTATGCGTGGTTAACTACGTGGTGGTGAATTGAAAGATCAGCTGTTGAGGAGCTTAGCGCTAGGCAACACTGGTGCATGTTACCACTCCTTTCCACTCCATCTCTCTAATAACCCACACCTTTCTGGATTCTCACTCCACATTTTAAAATCTAATGTAATGTAATGTTGAAGGGATATAATGTGATAAGTGTAAGTATAAAAAATACTGTATTTTTAGTTTTAATTTTTATTCAAGACATCTTCAGGGCCTCAGACCCACTAATACCCCATCTGATAATGGGTGACCTGACTTTGTATGTGAAGGACAGTAATATGAGACCACTAATACCCCACTCTATCTCCACCTGACATTGTGTCAGGTCAGGTCAGTTACACGAGACCCACTAATCCCCCACAGCTCCAAGGGAGTGGAAATTACCAGTCTTTGCTGTAACACGCAGCTTCATTCACGCCCATATCATATAGATTTGAAGTTTAGACTCTTGGAAAATCCCCAGCACACAGAAACATTCTGAGGATGTGGGCTAGTGTTTGTCTGTGCAAGATGCATGGTTTAGACACTCGGAAGTTTTTTCCAGTAACCGGAAATATTTCCGGGAATGGGAGAATTTTCCAGGTTTGAGAAAGTCGTCCGGTTAGCCAAAAATCTCTCATCCCCGGAAGTGCTCTTCACCAGTTGTTCCTGCTAACGGGGATATCACTGTACACCCTTGTACGGATGACCCCTCATACCACCATGACAAAGGCTAAAAATGGGAAATGGTGTTGCGTTAAATTAATTAAACCTTTGTCTTGTATTTAGCCATGTTCACCATTACTAAGAAAACCAACTGCTCCTCTGCCTTTTTCTTAACTCTCTCTTCCGAGATTTCTGTCTTTTTTTTTCTTTTCTGTTTAAGGAACCAGACAAAGGCTCTTGCTTAACCTACCCCAAAACTATCCTGACCTACTCCTAACCTAATTTAAACTAAAATAATATGTTCTTGAACAAACTTAACCTAGTCCTAACCTACCATAGATTTAAATTGACCTACCAATGACCTAACTTATCCAAACCTAATCTGACTTTAATAAAATACCCCATCCGAACCGAACCTAAGGATCAATAGTGTGCCCAGGAGCAGTGTGCATCCTCATCCTCTGGCAACACATGTGTGCTTGAATGTGTGGTTGCGTTAATCACGTTTGAGAACAAGACCTACATACACTCACTCACACATGCACTCTACACAGGGTAGGTTAGTTTAGCTTATCTTATAGGTAAATTGGGGGAGGTTAATTTATGTTATAGTTAAGGAAGGTTATGTTAGCTTTGTTAGGGGTATGATAGGTTCGGTTAGCTAATTTTATGAGTAGTATTGGGTAAAGAAGGGTTAGTGTGTTTATGGGTAGTATTAGTTAGCTTCATGTTGGAAATACATCAGGTTAAATTGACTTCGGTTGATAACAAAAATGGTGTTTAAACTGTGCCAAGACTCAACCATAACTAGATAAGGTCAGTTATTTTATCTCCAGTCAAGAGAACAAACATAAGAATGTGGACCTTGGACTATGGTGAACCTATCAGTCTCCCCCGTCAAAGATCATATATATTATAAAGGATGTTGGTTTTAGCACCTTTGTGGCAGCCGGTGCTTATATTAGAAAAGCTATAGTTGATTTCATGAATTACATTAACTAATAATATGCTCCAGTATATAAGAAGTACAAATTGTAGCAAATTAGTTAAAAGTACAGTTGTATAGACACATGTCAGATGCACATACAAGTATGAGCAGCCAAGTGGGATTTTATTGTCCATAAGATATAATGCAGGTCCCAGGATGAAAACTTTATTCAGAATTTAGTCTATTCACAAGCTTTAATTTTACACTCTTTATTCAGTGTCTACTCCATCTTTCACTCTGACCTACAAAATAGAATAGTATTGATATTTTTACCCAGGACAAATTTTACCTACCATATACATTAAACACTAATTTCCAAATATATTCTCCATTAATGAAGTTATCATCTTCCTTCACAAAATACACTTTGCTGGAGTTTCCTAATCATATTAAGTGCCTTACTTAAAGCTAATACCAATTTCAGAAGCATTAGTCTCGATCCAGTGATTCATTTCTTGTTCCAGCTCCGGTGAGAAGTGGGTCCTCCAGTCTCCTATTGTTCCTGGAGAGTGAGAATGAACTTTTACAACAACTATAGTATACAGTGTAGCAAGTTTGGGGATACAAACTTGAGGAACACAATTTACAATGACTTTGTTTCCGACTCAAAATTATCAGTGCAAATGTGTTTTTGAAAATTTTGAGGTTTTAGAAAAAACAAAAGATTGAACTGAGCTTATGAAAGTCTCAGTTTATGACTGAGACTTGCTTAGGTATTAATTAAGACATTCACAGTTAACTATGCAAATAAAGGCTGAAAGAACTGTAGTTGTGACTGACTGTATGATAGAGTCAACACTGACCATCAACTGGCTATAGGGAGAAACTATTCATGAAACGTTCAGCTCACCTCATGTACCAACCCTTTGTTAACACATTTAGTCACAAGTTAATAGCCATTCATATTTCCATACTCAGTGATCACTTCGTTCATTGATTACACCAGTGCACTCATCAGCATATTCTTGAAATTTAAGTCAGATTGGTATTTATTTCCAAGGTACCACTTAGCCTACAAATTAAGGAAATTCATTCATACTAAAATATCATAACTTGATTCACAGCCAATTAAAAGGTACCTACACAGTAGTTACTTGTCATATTGAAGGAAAAGTACTAATTTAAGCCTTAGGAACTGATGTACTGCGCACATCATTGTCATCCTTAATATCTCTTTAATTCATATTTCGCTACATAACATTCAAATCCACTTCTTGTAGAGAGTCACAGAAAACGCTAGAAAAAGAGAAACTTTGGTAAGGGATAATTCACCTACTGTATGCTGTTTTATACGAATTGTACCAATGTACGGGCATATAATATTCAGAGTTTGTACTGATAGTATTAAGGAGAACTCAAGGTATCTATATGATGATTGGGAAGATCCAATTGATACGGACCAGTGTACAGTACAGTACTATAAAGGATAAGTGTAGCCGTGGGTAGACCGTGTCTGAAGGTCATGATATTTACGTCTGTGAACGATTAGTAAACATAGCTACCTCAGGTATCAGATGAAAATAGGGTATATGAGAACAATGACCTGGAAAAAGGATAAATGTATCAGACCTATGTGAAGTGTTGGAAGTGATCCAAAACGATACTTCAAAGAAAATATCTTGTATACCTCGGTGTGAGCTTAATACACCTCGTTATCTCATGTGACGAATAACCACAAATAATGCAATGATCAGAGAATCTTATGAATGTGTTCAACGATTGCAACGTGTACGAGGAGGATCCCTAAATACAAATTGAAGTGAAGTGGATATACCCACCCCAAGTAAACACGAGCCTAGGCCTTTGTTCTATGTTGGTGCCCAAGACGACCCGGGTTAATGATATAGCCCAATTCATTTCCCCAGGAACTAGCAAACCAGACTCTTACTTTAGTATGTAATTTAGAATTAAGATATTAAATTATAAGGTATAAAATCACAATAGATGAGAAAGCGTATGGGTGAGAATCAGAATAATGTCAAAGTGAAATTTAAAGTTTGGAAACTGTAGGCCTAGTTCAGGGCGAGACGCCACACCATAGTATCAGTCGGGTGTCTCTTTTCACCCACGTAAGTCAGTACCCCACTGTATTTATAGAGGCCTATCTAGCAGTTTATATACATATTGAAACCTTGTCTAATGTCATAAAGTCAATTTGTAGTGTAATAGTGTGTGGTGATATAAAAGCCCCTCAGGCATTAAGATCAGTCGGGCATCTTTTCTCACCCACGCAGGTGTATGCCGAGAGAGTATGTACTCCCAAGGGAGTCAGAGAAATGCATGGCCCAGCCATCATCATCCTCCTGTGAGGCACCCACGTGTTACTGTGGGGAACGCTGCTGGCCACCCTGCAATCTCCCTTAAGGCCCCTGGACATCTCACATATCACCATCTAGGACAGAAGACAATGATTGACTTATATGGAATGATTTGCGGTCGCCACTTAAGCGACCCTATGATACCGGACGCTGGAATAGTCCGGGTATTATTACCGGGGAAGTATCCCATCTACTTAGCAAGAGTAGAGTGTGAGCGGGGTACCGATCATGTGTACCTTGATGCTACAAGGAAGAATGGTGCTGTAAATGTTGGTGCTACAAAGTATTTTTGGCTGATTGTATAAAGATTGACCTGGGTAAGGAGGTCAATGATTTGTTATGAAGAATGAAGATTTTAATTAGTTCATTTGAAGAAGGTCGCGTACTGGTGTGAAGTGTAATAAACCTAATACTATTTATTTTGATGAAGGTTAACTATTTTTGGTATTGTAACTGAATGCACTATTTTCTTATTAGGAAATAAATTAGTTAAGTCATGACTGATGTTTCACCCTTACTCCCACCTTTGGTTTGATGAATGCAAACATACACCCGTGCCTGGCTTGCTCTGCAGCTACCTAATAAACTACATACTGTCCAGGGGGTCTGGTGGCAGCGACCTTAAAATTAAGAGTAGAGTTAAGTTATCCGTTGGATTAGTGACCCCAGAATGGGCAGTATACTGAGCCACATACCAACTGTTTCCTTACATTCCTTGACCCACGACAGTACTACAACAACTGCTGACATTCATAAAGCACATTCAGGGCTCACTGTGGGTTGTAGAATCTTCTGTACATAACCAATGGAGTGCAGTCAAGTGCACAATTCCACAGCTTGGAGAAGGACGTGCCCCTAAGTGTTCGTGTTAGTGACCATAGGAAATGGCCACTGTGGATCGTTATGTTGTGGGGGAAGAGGGACGGTGTGTGAGGAAAGACAACCCCCTGGCCACTCTGTTAAGTCAGCTGGAGCAGTTGAGGAGAGAGGTGGACGTTTTAAAGAGGGAGAACGAAGCCCTCAGGCGCGGAGAGTGGCTGTCTCCAAAGGGACTAGGGTCAGACTCAGGAGAGCTGACCAGGGTGGGGAGTGCAGTAACCCCTACCAAGTGCTGGAGAAAGCAGGCGAGGAAGAGAAGAGGCAGGACGGTGTGGTGCCAGGAGAGAAAAGGGCAGTTGTTCAATGCCTGCCCAGTGGTAAGGTCGTGGTAGTTGGGGATAGCCAGGTGAGGTTCTTAGATAGGACTTTTTGTGCAAGAGATGGGAAACGTAAGACTAGGGTGTGATTCCTGGGGCTGTGATAGGGCATGTAGCTGAGAGGATAGATAGGGTTTTGTCAGGGAAGGGTACCAAGCCAGTAGTGAGTCCTAGTGTAGGAGGTAATGACATAGGAAAGGTTAGGAGTGAGGAACTTTTCAAGAGGTATAGGGAGGCGCCTAGAAGAGGAGTTGGTGGCGAATGGCTGTCCAGAGCAATTGCTATAAATTGCCGACTGGAAAAACATTGTGCAAGCAATGGTTAGGCGTTCATTGATAACTGGTAACCATTCAATGGCAACGACTACCTGTACAGTCGTGACGGAGTACACTTGTCTCACGTGGGGTAAAGACATTGTCTGCATCCCTGGAGCGTGAAATTGTCACTCCAAGAAAGGGGGGGGTTGCCAGTAGAGAGAGGTCAGGGTAAGTGGGAGTAAAAAAACAAGCAGGTTATGGGGAGTAAAGTTGGTTACTCAGGACAAGGGGTAAAACAGGACCAGGGAAGGGTAGATTTAAATGTATACTATACAAACAGTAGGAGCGTTAGAATAAAATAGACTTGCTGAGAGCGGTTGTATGTACGTAGAATGTAGACGTCATAGCACTCACCGAAATTTGGCTGAATCTGGCAAGCAAGAACTTTTTATCGGAGTACCACATAGAAGGGTACAACCTTTTTCACAAGGACAGGGAAGGTAGGAAGGGGGGAGGGGTCGCACTCTTCATCAGGGATACATTAAAATGTTGTATTAATAACACAACAAAGGGTAAAATATGAACCGAGTCTGTATGGGTAGAAATTGCAGAAGAAAGAGAAAAAATTAATTGTGGGGCTGATTTACAGGCCCCCAAGTCTTGGGAAAGAAGCAGCTCAGCCCATATGGCAGGAAATGAGTAGGGCAGCAAAATACAACAACCTGTGCATTATGGAGGCTTTCAACTTTTGAAATATTGACTGGGACAACATTGTAGGTGACTATGAATCTGAAGTCTTCCTAGACGCAGTACTGGACAATTTTATAAAACAACTAATTACAGAACCTACTGGAGGTGACAATATATTAGACCTAGAATTAACAAATAAAGAAAATATTATAAGGGATATCACAGTAGGCAAAGAACTTGGGAACAGTGATCACAGAGAAATTAGGTTCACCCTAAATTGGGGAACGAAAAGCAATGACAATATGGTCAGAGTCCCAGGCTTTCGATCGGCGGATTATGAGGGGTTAAGAAGGTACCTAGGTGAAGTCACCAGGGAACAGTCAGGTCAGTCCCCAGTAGGAAGGGGTGAGGTCACAGGTGACACAACAATTGATCATGACTATAATATATTCACTAGTATACAACGTAAAGCGCAGGAAAAAAATATACCATACAGAAAAATTCGGTCAAATAAGAATGAGCCAAGGTGGATGACCAAAAAACTTAAACATGACATAGAAATAAACAAAGGAATTTATAAGAAATTAAAGGGAGGAGAGGAGCATCTCAGAAATAGGTATAATAAACTATCTAGGAATGCTAAGAAAAATGTAAGGAAGGCAAAGAGGGACTACGAAATCAACATAGAAAGAGAATCCAAGGCAAATCCCAAGGGATTTTCCAGGTATATGGGACAAAGTGGGACCTTTAAAGTCAGAGAGAGGGGGAGTGATCGATGATAGCGAGAAAATAAGGAAAGCATTAAACAGCTATTTCTTATCAGTTTTCACAGAAGAAATTCACAAGGAAATGCCAGAGGTGGTGTAGCGTAATGTATGTGGCCAGCGAGGACTGGTTTGTGGAACTCGCTGCTGGTTGGCTGGTAGGCAGACGGCAAGTGATCAATCAGCAGTTGTAGGGGAGAATATCCACTACAGTGGAACTGATATTTAGGGGAAAGGAAGAAGAGAAATTAAAGAATATCACTATCAGAAAAGAGGA